CTTATTTATTTGTTCACTTCATACCTATTTGAATGGCTATTTTCAAAAAACAGAAGCTACATGTTTGTGAGAGTTCAGAGAAAAAAGGGAACACTCACACATTTTGCTAATGGGAATGACAATTGGTGCAGTCACTTTGGGAAAAGGGATAGTGGCTCCAGGAAAACCTAAGGTAAAACTACCATAGGATGCAGCAGTCCTGAGCAGGGTGTGTCCTCAAACCACACGAGTCAGTGTGTCAAAGAAAGTCCATGTCTCTAGCTATGACAGCGTCATTCCCAGTGCCAAGGCACAGAATTAACCCAGGTGTGTGTCAGCAAATGAATGGACTGAGAAAACACATGTTTGCAGGAGACGTTGTACCACTCAGCATTAGAGAGGAGGGACAGTCTCTCACTAGTGACAATGGGTGACCTGGAGGACATTGTGTGAAACAAGCCAGGCTCAGCAGAACAAGCAGCACATGACCTTGACTCTGGAGTCTGAGGAGTGATACTCATTCTTAGAAGCAGAGTGGCACTGTGGTCAACAGGGCTTCTAGGAAACAGAGGTGGCCCTGGCAGGTATTCAAAGGAAGCAGAATTTCTGTTACACAGGAAGAACAAGTTCATGAGGCATGGTGACCTCAGCTATAATCATAAATGTCATGTTGGAAACAGCTGAGAAGATAGAAATTAAGTGCTGTCAGGACAAAAAATCCCCAAGTGCACAAGGTACTGCATCTGCTAACTGGGAAAAGCTGACCATTGCAAAATACATGTCTATCAATGGACCATTAGGTATACCAGCAAGAAATAAAGCTCACTTGTCATTGAGAAAAATATTGATGATAATAAAAATAGAAAAAATATGTTAATTCTTGCATCATTCCATATAATCTGTGTGTTTGAGGATGTCAGCAGGTAAAACTACATTTTATGAGCTAATTTGTACTCTTTTATAAAATTCAAAGTCAACCTAAGAGGTGTAGCTCTAAATATCCTGTGTGTAACTGGCATTCTTCCAAGAAATTTGTAATAACAAATTAACTTTATACCCACAGACCCATATATACCATGTACCCTGATATCATCCAGTTTTATAGGTGAAGAACCAAAGAACCAATTGCTTACACTGTAAGTAATATAGCTGAGAGCAATAAAAAAATCATGAAGCCAAGAAACAGACATGATCTAGATCTAAAGGGAAAAATGTGAAATTCTGAGCTGAGATTGCCTCATGACCTTCTTCAGACTTCTGAAGATGTCAGGCTTCTGGTGATGGTGATAGTGTGACTCAATGATATTTTTATTTATATGTTTCCAGAGAAACAAACTCGACTGAGCTCAGCATTTGAAGGACAGTTTATAATTAGGCCACAGCCTGCCTGAGGGAAGGCAGGGCAAACAGGGTCAGTTTCTTAGAGGACAGTGCGGGCAGGGTTGTACTGTGGCCCGAGTCTCTGTGGCAGAGTCCTGTGGGCTTTGAATTTCCTTACTCGCTGGCAGAGTATGGTCCTGACATCAGGAAAAGGTGATTGATCTGGACACTTCCACCTGCTGAAAAGCTAACTCAAATATACCATATACCTCAACATAAAATGCAAAACTCTACAGCCTCATCAAGAACACAGAAAGTCTAGACCTCTGGGCTTGGCAGTTTTCACATACAAGATCCAAGCTTGCTCCAACAAAGGTGAATGTGATAGAATGAACCTTTATAAAATGAAGGACTTCTGGAGTCATCAGTATTCAAGGACCATGGAGGAAAACATGCCACAGACTGAGGGAAATATTTGTAAAAACACTACATACGTCGGGGCTGGGGTTGTAGCTCAGTGGTAGAGCACTTCTTGCTTCACATGTGTGAGGCACTGGGTTTGACCCTCAGCACCACATAAAAATACATAAATAAAAATAAAGATATTATGTCCATCTATAGCTAAAAAATATTTCAAAAAAAAAAAACACTACATATGTAGCCAGGCACAGTGATGCATATTCATAACCCCAGCAACTCAGGAGGCTGGGGCAGAAAGTTCACAAGTTTAAAATCAGTCTCAGCAACTTAGCAAGATCCTGTCTCACAATAAAAAAGGGCTGGGTCTGTAACTGTTTTCAGCCCTGGAATCAATTTCCAGAACCAAAAGATGATAGATAAATAGATAATGAACTTGTTTTCAAAATATACTAAAACTCCTAAAAGGAAACAATAAAAAAGGGAAAAAAATTTTAAACGGACAAAAGATCTGAAAAACACTTCAGGTCAGAAGATATATGGATGGTAAATAAGGAGGTGCCAGTCACCATCTTCCTTAGAGAAATGAAATCTAAACCACTGGTGTGACACCACTACACACCTGATAGAAGGAGCCTAAAACATGAGCAGAGCTGGTGTGCCCTTCCCATGCACAGCACAAAGGGTGCTCTGTCCTTGCTAGTGCAAATGCAAAGCAAGAGAGCCACTCTGATGGTGCTTTGGCAGTTTCTTGCAGACACACATGTTCTTCCATGTGGTCCACTTCTGACTATTTACCCAACTGATTTCTAAACGTAGAGCCACACAAAATCTTTATAAGAATGTGGCTTCGTTCATTCACCACAAACTGGAAGCAACCAAGACACTGTTTAAGAGGTGGATGGATAAAGTGTGGCTCCCCCACAGCGGAGTATCACCCAGAGGGACAAAGAAACCAGGGCAAGGGTGTTTGCCAAATGCATGTTGCCAAGTGAGAGAAGCTGGTCTCACAAGGGTCCCTCCTGCATGATTCCAGCTATGAAACAGGCTTTAAAAGCAAAGATTTAAACCAGAGACAATGAAAGGTCAAAGTTTGCCCAGGCAGTAGGAGCTCAGGTGGAGAAGTAAGCCACAGGGTGTAGAGGTCCCTGTGGTACAGGACAGAGGGAGGATCGTCACTGTGGAGACCTGACAATTCTGCCTCCACTGTGGAAGTGAGCTCAGTATCAACAACATCAAGTCCCAGGGGTGGGAGGCGCCCTTGGTAAGAGGCCAGGAGAGCAGCATTCCACCTCAGGCGTTCCTCTCCAAAGCCACAGAATGGTCCTGAGAAACCAGCATGCAAGCCCTGCTGAGGGGCAAAGGCCTGCACAGTACTCAGCCAGGGTGGCAGAAGCACCCTGCACCTGTTCCTTATCATATAGCGGTTTCTGACAGCTGCTCTTCATTTAGTGGAAATTCTCTCTCTCCATTATTTGAAACCAAGGTAACTCATCATCTTGGAATCTAAATTTAATATTTAAAATTGTAAGTAATTACTCCTAATTCAGAGTTTCTCTGATGATAAAATATTATACATATAGATTTCTATCCCTCACTCCAGGAATTCCAGTCCCTGTTATACCATTTGCAAGCAAGGCTAACATAACCTACAAACTGTAGGTTGTAGATGGAGAAACGTTTGTCTTTGGTCTCACACACTAGGCAAAGCCCCATGCCTGGAAGAACTTCACTGTTTTCTAACAGAACATGCCTCTCAAGAAAACCTACAAAATGTGCTGGTTTATCTCATTTTGAATGCATGCCCACAAAAGACAAAAGAACAGGCAACAGTATCAAAAACGAGATTTCTGCTTGCAAAGAACCTTCAATTTTTGCCCGGTTCGGTGGTGCACGCCTATTATCCCAGAACTCAGGAAGCTGAGGGAGGAAGATTGTGAGTTCAAAGTCAGTCTGAGAAATTCATCAAGGCACTTAGCAACTCAGTGAGACCCTGTCTCTAAATAAAATATAAAAGAGGGCTGGGGACATAGCTCAGTGTTTAGTGCACCCCTGGGTTCAATCATCAGTTTAAAAAAAAAAAAAACTTCAATTTTCCAGTTCAGGCTATGTTTTACCTTCTCCCTTTTGTTCAGTGTGAACCCCATGCCCTGGCTCTACCTCTCACTGGGCTCAACTGGTGGCTAATTCTTACACTGCTACAAGAAACAGGAGCAGTCAGGAGCTCCATGAATTACATTCATGGGCCCAAGAACTGTTCTGCATCTCTCTGGCTAGCTATCTGTCAGCCTGTCGGGCATTACAATGGAAATTTCCTGGTTGCCACCGGAATCTCACCTCAGTCCTAATATTAGACCTTCTATTTGGCAATGAGAGATTCTCCTTTTATTGAAACACTGCTTCAACTTACAAACACATTGAGCACATCTTTAACTTTAAAGGTTAAACAAAACCTTCCAGTTTCTCATTTATCTATTTCCTTTCTAAGCCCCAGTGTCAGGTTTTAAAAGCAAAGTTTCTCATTTATGGCTGCAAAACAAATGATGCCAACACTAATGGCTTAAAATAACTGTGGTATTTATTATTCACGAGTCTTCAAATTTTTACAGTTGTATTCGTCCCTATTCAGTGTGCAGCCTGTTAAGGAGACTTGCTAGCATGCATGCTCTGAGCGCTGGCTTCAGATAAGAGGACCTCTTCAGGCTGCAGGCTGCAGTGGCAACACCCTCCTCTCCTTGGCCTTTCGTCATTCAGCAGTCTGGCCTGAGCTCCTTTGCCTCGCAGCTGGACCCCAAGAGAACAAAGTCAGTAGCCGCCAGCCTCAAGGAGCTGGTCCAGGCCTGACACCACATGACATCTGCCACGTGCTGCTATGGAAAGCCACTCACGTGACCACGCTGAACGAAGGGCATGATGGGGGAACATGCTGGCACAGGGCGGGAGGCCTGGCAGAGTCCCCAGATGAGTGACCATGCTGCCTTCCCCGGTCCTTCTGCCTGGATTATAAACGTGCATTCATTTTAGGGCTTAGTCCCAGTCCCTTACTTTGTCTTTCTTTAGTCTTCATTTTAATTCACTTCTCTTACCTATTTCTGCCCAGATAGAAGGATACAATCTGATGCCTTTCAGTCATGAGTATATGCTGGGGAGTTCCTGCTTTCCCTCCAGCCTGCCCTTCTTAACAGGGCTCCTGCCATGTCTTGCCATCTCTTCTGCTTCCTCAGGCCGCTGTTTATAACTTATCTCAGATATAATCTGTCCTAAGAGAACAGTCTACCTCCCATTCACGTCTGCTTCTCCTCCAGCTGTTCCCATCTGGGAAGTGTCCAGAAATGGTCTAATTGTGAGGCTAAAAACACAGGGGTTGCTCCTGCTCTGTTTTCACTCCTTCCACAAGTTCCACTCCAGTCCCTGTGGCTGGACCTCTAAAGCACAGGGAGGCTCCCAGAGCTTCCTGGCACTGATGCCTCGGCACAAGCCATCCTGCTGCCTCTGACTGACATCAGCTTGCTCACCTGCAGCCAGGATGCCCTCCCAGCAGATGGCGCGCCTGGTAAGACCAGGTGCATGTTACTGAACTTCCTCCAAGACACCCTGTGTTATGCTCCAAGTCCTGCTCTTCCACTCTGCTATGGGTGCTCAGCCCTGCACTCTGCTCCCTCTCGGGTGGCACTGCTGCTTTCCTGTCTGGGGGCATGACAGGCTCACTTCAGCCTGAGGAAATGCAAACTTGGCCCTGGTGCTGGAGTCACCTCCTGGGTCTTCCTGTTCATCACGCAGATGCAGCCAGAATGTGGCTTCAGAACTGTCCCTGGACACCCTGCCTGAGACCTCCCTCCTCCAGCTGTCTCCAAGGCGGTGTTTTATTCTATTGACAGCATGTAGGCTGCGTGGCCATTTTCTCCTCCAGATCCATTGTCACTGTCCCTCCCAGAGCAGGAGTGTGATTGGATGTTCAGACCCAGCCCTGAAAGATGTTCAGCCAAGTGCCTGAAACAGAAGGGTGACCTTGTAACTGTGGATGGCAGGTGACGAGCTCTAACAGACATATGCACCAAGCAAAGGAGCTGTTGTTGCTCCCTTGATGAAAGACAGTGACAGGGTAACAAAACTCTGTTGCATGTTGACAGCATCTTACCAAGGTTTGCAAGGGTGGGCAATTAGGATGAGACCCTCAGTGCATTGTACTCAATGGTTCTACATCTCCCAGCCCATTCAAGGAAGAGCTGTTTCCCTCCTCCCTTTCCCCTCTAGGCGTGGAAAACACAGCTTCCTCCAAACACCTAGCTGTGAGAATGGCACAGCCCTTCTCCATATCTGCATCAGCAGTGGTCAGCAGACCTTCCCTTGAGAAGTCCTGCTTCTGGGTGTCAGCCCTGCTGTACTCCTGCATGACTCGCACACCAGGCAAACTAAATGTGGGGGACAAGCTGGTGATGAATCCTGCTGAAATTCTGACAGACATTGGTGATGCTAAATCGTGGTTCAACACCCCCAGCTTTGTAAGTCTTAACATAAGCGGGAGTTCCCAAATTTACCTTTGGTTATAAATTCTTTCCTAAACTTATATTTCCCAGCAGCAGCCTTCTCAGTGCCCCCTTCACCTCCTTGTTTCTGAGGGTGTAGATCAGGGGGTTCAGGAGGGGGGTGACGATGTTGTAGAAGAGGGTGAAGAACTTGCCCTGGTCCTGGGAGGAGCTGTGTCCTGGCTGCATGTACATGTAGATGATGTTCCCGTAGAACAGGGAGACCACGGTGAGGTGGGAGCCACAGGTGTTGAAGATTCTGTGTCTTCCTGAGGACGACTGGATTCTGAACACAGCCCTGACGATGTGGCCATAGGACACCAAGATGAAGACCAGGGGAGACAGCACGATGCCCACGGCCAGGATGAAGGCAATGCCCTCCACAGCAGCAGTGCTGATGCAGGCCAACCGGATCAGCGCGGGCATCTCACACAGGAAGTGGTCCACCTTGTTGTGCCCACATCGAGGTAGCCACAACGTCATTGGTGACATGATCAAAGAATTGGCCATCCCACAGCCCCAGGCCACCGACACCAAGCCCAGGCAGAGTTGTGGATGCATAATAGTCATGTAGTGCAGGGGCTTGCAGACGGCCACAAACCTGTCATAGGCCATGACGGCCAGCAACAGACACTCCACTCCACCCAGGCCCAGGAACAGGAAGAGCTGGACCACGCAGCCCACATAGCTGATGGTCTTGTCACGGCCACTCAGGTTGTGGAGCAGCTGTGGGATGGAGCTGGTGGTGAAGCTGAGGTCCAGGAAGGACAGGTGGGTGAGGAAGAAGTACATGGGCGTGTGGAGCCGGGAGTCCAGCCGAGACACCAGGATGATGGTGCTGTTGCCCACCAGGGTCAGCAGGTAGGCTACCAGGATGACCACAAAGAGGACCCTCTCCAGGTGGGGGCGGTCAGAGAAACCCAGGAGGATGAAATGGCCCTGGGTGCTGCCGTTGGTCCTATCCATCTCTACTGCACCTGAGGAAAATGGAATTTGAAACAAAAAAAAAAAAAAAGAAAAGAAAAAGTAATTCCCAGCCCCTCTGCACCCGTCACATACTAAGAACATCTGGAACTTCTGGTGAAAACGTGTCTGTCCATGTGCATCGCTTACTGGGTTAACACCAGAAATCAATAGTGTTTATACATCGAGGTAAAAAAAATGTACTCAAAACAAAATGTAAAACCTAAATATTATTTAAAAAATAAACAGAAAGTTTGTGGGAATCAAAAATAAACATATTCTTAAAGAGAGAGTATATTTTTAAACACTATATTATGAACATTTTGCTAAACATTGATCAAATTTTTTGAAGATGAAAACATTTTTAAGATTTACAGAAATAATTTTTAGGGCAGAAAATTCCCTATTTTTCCTCTAGACCTGAACCCCCTGAATCAGGCTCCCCATGAACAAGCAGAGCTCGTCTGTCCTCTTCCTCAGCCCAGGAGGAAAGTGGAGACATGGTACCAGGGTCGGAGTCCCTCCTCTCTCTGTGAATGAGCATCCTGAGTGCACCTGAGGCTGGGTGGACGCCGTGGCAACTTTCGTCATCACCAATCTTTAGGAGAGGTTGGCTCCTGCCAGATTCCTCAAAGAAAGGAAAAGAAGAAGGATGGAAGGAAGGAGGAGAGAAGAAAGGAAGGAGAAAGGGAGGGAGGGAGGGAGGAAGAAAGAAGGGAGGAAGGAGGGAGGAGAGAAGAATAAAGGAAGAAAGGGAGGGAGAGAGGAAGGAAGGAAGGAGAAAGGAAGGGAGGGAGGGAGGAAGGAAGGAGGAGGAAGGAAGGAGGAGAGAAGAAAGGAAGGAAAGACAAAAGAAAAGGGAAAGAAAAGAAAGAGAGGGAGGGATTCACCTAGACATTCTGGCTTTTCCACATTATGACCGTTCATCACCAAGACTGATGTGAGTTTTCCCGCCTGTCTGATTCCTCCAGGGTCTGTGATTTCAGTCACCCTGTAAGAGGCTGAGTCTGAGGATTTGGTGTCTAACCCAGGCTTATGATGGGATACAGAGACAGTTTTGGAAGACAGAGGTTACGGTCATTTCATCCTAGGTCTCTAGTACCTGTGTTCAGCTTGAGAACTTTGCATTTTAACTAATTAATGAAATGGTTACTGACTTCCCTATGGACCCAGAGGGAGGAATATTTTAGCCAGATTTTCGGGGTTTGGTGATCACTAAATGTTTATAAGCAGGTCTCAGACAGACGTTAATGAGATCAGCCTGTCCCTTTTCCACCTCCTATTAGAATGAAGAAGTATGCACTTGGCAGAGGGGACCTGACCCTCTTGTGCCTCTTTTCCTTCCATTGCTGCAGGTTCCTTGATTGTGGAACAAACTTCACTTCCGTTTTCCCACTCTTTGTATCGTTTGCTAAAACCACTGCTTCCTAAGACTCCATCTACTGTCCAGGTAGGAGGAGGTCAACTTCAGTCCTTAAAACACCACCTTGAAATCTCATAGAACTTAAGGTGCTATGATTGCTTCTTAAATTAATGATACCATTTTCAAATATTTGAAATTTAAAGGCTTATATAAACCAAAATTTTAGACCTCATGCCACCAGTACTAAGCAAGACACAGATCTTTTCACTGCACTAAGATCATAACCCCAGTGGGAGGTCAGAGAGGAGCTGGTGCTTCACCGTGGGGAGTTTCCCACTTCCCTGAGTATCCATGGTGCACACCTCAGCTGACTGTGCCTGCCTGTGCATTACCTGGACCACAGCCTGGATTTATGCTGAGTGTCCCCTATGCTCTTCCCTCCTCCTCTAGTTCCCCCACTTCTTCCATTTCCCTACCGTTGTCCGTGGCCTTCAGTCCTCTGCTGAATTACTACTCTCCCCCTACAACATTTAAATGTTTCCCTTTGCTCACCTCCTGATGAATCCCCAGCTGCCTTTGCCTGCTTTCCAAAAACCCTGCCGTGTGCCCGGGTTTGCTTCCAAACCATTCCTTCATCAATGGCCTATGTGTCTTCTGTCCCAACTTCTACTCTCCAGGGCTGAGAATTTTCCAAACTCCATGGCCTGTATGTGGCCATTTGCAGCAGCGTGCAAGCCTGCCTGGCCCGTCAGCCCTGGGCACACTCTTCACAATGTCCTTCGGATTCACCCTCCTCTGTGCAGCTCCTAGGACTGCTCAGATTGCTTGCACTGACCCTGCTTTGGCAGCCTTGGTCTCCACCTGTCCCCTGGGCCTCCCTTCTTCCTACACACCCTTTGTCCCTACACCTAGGCATTGATTTCCCCTGCCACGTAGCATACTGTCTCTCATTCTGCCCTAAGGTTTTATTCTGTGGAGGTCACTGAGCACAAGAGGATGTCTGGTTCTCCCTCCTGCACTGGAATCAGGTACCCACATAGCAGATGTGTGGTAGGTAGTGCCAATAGGTGTGACCAGCACAGAGCAGGTGAGTGGCAGGAGCTCTGCCCACCCCCTCAGGACCTGGCTGTGAGGGCCATTTACTCCTCACAGGAAACAGCACTGTTCCTCACCCTGCTCTAGAGCACAGTGACTCCGTGGGATACTGGTGCCTGGTGCCCACCACATCAATTCCAATGCTGGCTGTGTGTTCACATCACTCCAACATTGAGTTCTCATACCTTACCCTTGGTCTTCATCACATCCAGACTTCCTACCACAGCCTGTGTTAGGCTGAGGCTGATGACAGAGTGTTTTCTGTTACCTATCTAGGTTGGGTTTCTTCTTTCCCATCCTGTCTCTACACACCAGTTTACTTCAAATTCAGATGAAAGTGTTCTCTGCTGGGTACTGCCCTTCATTAACTTACTGCAGTTCAGTATCTTCTTTACCCTCTGGGCCATTGATATGAACAAATTTTGTCCATTCTCTTTTATATCGCTATGCATATCCTTGCCTATTATTTTATTTGAAGAGTAGCTCAAAGTGTATTTTCTATAGCCTATGTTCTTTGATTAACTAGCAGAAATGAATTCCAGACAGTTGGCTGTGCATAGTTTCCCTGCTGTGGGACTCTGAGTAGGTCTGTGTGTGGCACGCACTCTGCAGGTGTGCATCACTCTATTAAATTCTCTAAGAACAGAGGCCATGCCTCTCCTTTGGCATTACCTGCACACTCTGGATGGTTCAAGGAGGTCGTTAGTCAGCATGCTAATGCACAGAAGAAGGAGTGAAGAATCAGCAGAAAGGTTAGGTACATACCCTGCTCACCATTCCTGGTGGCATGTCATGTTGCCAAGGCAGCTGAGGTTGGCTGTTTGTGGAAGGAGGAAGAGGGGTGGTCTGACTCCAGCAAAGCCCTCTGCCCTGTGATTTCCAATGCCCATTTGTTTTCTCACTCTTTCTCCAGAATAGGCCCAGCCTGAGCTGGTGGGAATGACTCTCCTGTGCCACAAAGCAGCAGAGACACTAGGAGAGAAAGAGGAAGGGACCCTGGAGCTTCCCCTCGCCTACTGGACTCCAGCGGGCCTCAGTGGCCCTGAGGACAAGGGTTTCGTGAAGCTGACATCAGACAGGTAGTCTCCCCAGAGGGATCCTCAGAGATAGCGGGAAGAGGACTCCAGGGCATTCACATTCCCCATGGGATCCCTGGGCTCAAGGGAGGGACAGAGGAGAAATTACAGGGAATCAGTCACACTTCTGTTTTGTACAACCACGTTTTTCCTCTGGCCTGTGACAGAAAACAAGAAAACCAGAGTTGTATTTTTTTTCCATGATAGGAAATGTCCTCATCAGCTTCTTTAAACCAAAAATGTGGAGTAATCCATAATTTTCATAATTTTTTTAATACCTGGAATTGAACACAGGGGCACTTGATCACAGAGCCACACTCCCAGCCCTACTTTGTATTTTATTTAGAGACAGGGTCTCATTGAGGTGCTTAGAGCTTTGCTGTTGCTGAGGCTGGCTTCGAACTCTAATCCTCCTGTCTCAGCCTCCCCAGCTGCTAGTTTTATAGGCATGTGCCACCACACTCAGCCTCCAGTGGTCACAAGCCTTGCAACCCACACCTGTGGGCAAAGAGGTGAGAACAATGCTTCCTCATCTCCACTTTCTTACCATGCCCAGGGCAGATGAAGGCTCCCCTGAGTCTTCCCTTGGACTCACGTGGGCATCAGCAGGCATGTTCTCTGGGGAGCAGCATGAATCCTTGAGGCTAATTTCTTCCCCATCTGAAACAGCAAAGTCAGCCCACATCTGTAGTTGAATTAACACAGATATTCAGAAGTTCACTAGGAAATGTTACTTAAAAACTTATTTATGTAAGTATATTCCTAATTCATTAATACGAGTTCGTGGCAACAAAAAAATAAATAAGTAAATAAAGAGATTTGCCAGTGGGATTGCATCAATTTTATGAAAATGGAATCATCAAATACATTTCTCAAATAAAACCAGGCAGAAAAATCAATCAAAATCTTCAATTTGGCCAGGCACTGTAGTCCTGCCTGTAATCCCAGCTTCAAGGCTGAGTGACCCAGGAGGATCACAAGTTCCAGGCCAGCTTCAGCAACTTAGCAAGACCCTGTCTCAAAATAAAAAGGGCTGGGGATGTGGCTCAGTGGTGGACCAACTCTGGGTTCAGTGCCCAGTACTGCATGCAACAAAAACTAACAAATCACCTTGTAATTCCTACGCTTCCAAGCAAACAGAAGACCCTTGACTGTCTTTTCCTGCTCAGTTCAACAGACAGGCTGCACCAGGAGAGACAGAGAGCACAAGAAACAGAAAACATGCTAATTGCCTGACAGCAACTAGAGGAAGAAGCAGAGGGCTTAATGAGTCCCAGGGCTCCCAGTTCTGTCCCAGGAGACTGGGGGCAAGTTTGTGCTCTAAACTTGCTGAGCACATTCTCTCCAAGGATCTTGCTGCAGTTCCTCTGTGCAGGTCCCCAAACACCATCTGTCCATGCTCTGAGCACTGAGCTTCCCACACTGGATGTGACTGGAGCATTTAGTCATTCAGTCTTAGTGTCTGCAAT